GGGTGGTGATCAGGCACACTTATTAGAAATGCACAAACATGACCACCAGTTTTCACTGGGAAGCTCCGATTTGTTCAAAGATATTCAGGTTGCATCCAAAACAGGCATCCAGAGCTACAGCTAGGTCCACTGTCTGCGCATCTCTATGTGTTTCCAATGGAATGAAGACTACATGTAGACCTACCGGGAACATAAAGCTCTAGACAACAGATTCAGATGCAGCATAATGTTCACATAAATGGTCTTCTGTACATGTACATAGCTTCACCCTCATTAATGCAAGATTCCCAAGATGTTAGTATGAGCATGGTGTGAGATAGGAAACAAAAAGTAGTTGTGCAAACAAATGCAACCATCACCAACGTCTTGGGCCGAGACTAACAGTTACTGTCCACCCCCCACACAAATTATGTTCCTCTAGGGAACCAATGAAGTTCCACACAATGGTCTGAGATAAACCAGCATGACTGCACATCATACTGCACATGTACCTCATACAATATTCGAAATCAAGAGCCCAATTCTCAGTGGTCTGTTCACCGTCACCTGTCAATTGCTAACTACTATACAGTACTTGTGCTACATGTACATGTACAGGTGTACATGTATTTACCAGGTACGTACGTGAGAATCCACACACAGGCCAAATACTCATGCCTGGTAGACCATTGCCTGGATTACATGCACAGCACTGCACATGTACTGGTACCTAGGGGTCAATTTGCATGCATTTCAAAGATAGAACTGTCACGTTTTGATACACGTACGCACATGTAAACATCATTGTACATGTAGCTGGGCCAACTGAAAAGATGGAGGCACGTCATGGAGGAATTAGAACTCATGCGGTATTGTTTATGGCTTCATGGGTGGATGAACCACCTTGGGAACTGCTACATGTAAATATATAGCAGTACCTGTAGACCAACCAGTACATCATACATCTTGTTCACTCCTAATGCAATAATTTTGACTATCTACCTGAAATAAACAATGATAAATAGGCCAATATTTGCATAATACTCCACTGAACCAGTCCACTCTGGAAACAGGATGCATTGGAGTCACAAGTACATGTACATGTACCGATACACAGCATGAACAAGTTGAAATACGGTAGAATGTATCTTATTTACCTCGGTGTGGGCCAAAAGGAGAGCCAAGTCTGAAAAATTTACACACACATGTACATGTAGATGTAACGACATGTCCCATGTAATAAAACACTGCTCATGCACGGTGTGTGTGATACAATTGTATACATGTACATGCTGAAAAAACAATGATGTAGGAACACACAATGTACATGAACATACCAGTATACAGCCGCATTAACTGTAAGAATCAGTGTACAAATGTACACATCATGTATGTACATGTATGCCTGGTTAGGACATGTTGTGTTGATGAACACATACGTGTACCAGTACCCATTACCAGATATATACATGTACATGTACATACATATGTACATCACAATATGCAATGTTGGCCCAAACAGTTTCCGTGGTTCAAACACCCTCCTGAGTGCTGCATGAGTTATTAATGTATGGCATTGTATGTTCAGTAGGTTCACATTGTAATGCTATGCGTCTACGTGTACGGTTTATGAGTGTACCATAGATGCCAACATACACTGCGTGTGCTAGTACCGGTACCTGCAGAAAACATTGACTGGAGTGGAGGCTACAGGGTACACTTGATACCATAAACCATACCGCTATTTCTCAGTGTAGAAATAAGCAAATTCTGAATCCAGCATAGAATTCATGAACATTTTGCCATGTGTAGATACAGCTTTTAACTTTAGAGTGACTGTGTTTATTTTCAGGCTTTTGTCTCTGATCAGTCTTGGTGTTTTGTGTCATTTTTTTGAGGGGGGGGATTTTGCAGTCCTATACAGTACTGTGTCCTACATTGACCAACATGCTCCCAAACTCTATCTATAAGGCAGTTTCCTCAAAATATGGACCATTAGATAATGTTCAACTTTGGGGGTTTATTTTACCTGAAGTGGACACCAGTGAATTAAATCCCAATGCCTGATGAAATTAAGGAAGTCATGTCTGATATCGAGAACAATGATGACTGTGCCCATCTTTCAACTGAATTGGGTTGATTAATTAAAGTCTCGAACATCAGCATTTTTGACGGACGCGAACAACCTGTTGAAATCCAAATAAAAGTTACAGGGAAGTAATAATCCCTATGGTTACTTTACACAGATTTGTATGTGGTGAAAGGTGATAATATTTACACATATTAAAACCATAATCACGAAATTAAAAAATACCTCTCATAAAAATAATTAGGTCCCAAAGTCGGCAGTCGCAAACGTCATTCAATTCTGTCAAAAAAAATGACTGCAAAAAATCAGCAATCAGATCAATGTACAATGCAAGCTTTAAAAAAGTGCAAAAAGCACCCCCAAACCATCATCCTTTTACGACTGGACCGATCACATTTTCTTCAAGTACATTTCTGAAAACCACAGTCCAAAATTAAAATAACCAATCGTGGCGATTTTGCGGCTTCCGTCATTATCGCATGGTGCCATTAGAGAAACGTTTTGCTGCATCGTGGGCTGCTTGACCCTTGGCATCAACCCAGATAGTGCGCCCTCTTTTTCATTTGATATTCATGAGCCCCTCCACAGAATGGCGACGCTTCGGGATTTGTCTCTTCGTACCAAGGTTTCTCAAAAGAAAATCTGTCAACCTGAATGACGTTTGCACAAAAATGACATCCGAGACATAAACTACGATTCATGATGATAATTTAATGCACAAAGTTGTTTATTTTGATTTAATTTTCAGTGGGGATATCTCCAAAATATGCGGCAAAATGAACATCGCACATGGAATTTTCAAGCACTACATGTGACAGCGTTTTTGGCATTCTCGAACGTCATCAAAATTCTGTCAAATATGACGTTCACAACGAACATATTGTACTCATTGTACATTTTTGATGCAACCAAACTTAAAGATTTTTTTTTTTTGGTGGTTAAAAGGTTTAAGACCTGTCAAATATGTTGGTATAGTGAGAGTGATTGTAAACGGTAAGAGAATGAAGAGAGCCAAACTTTTCTCATCATTTTCTGTCAATTTTGTGCTTTTTTTTCATGGCTATACATGTATGTTTAAATAGATATTTCTTACATGTAGGTGCTTTAAAATACATCAGTTGAAAAACTGATTTTCCTTATTGTTGACAGAAGTTTTGAAATCAAGTCTTCTGGTGCCAAAACTTTGACATGAAACTTTAAATGAATTCAACTCCATTTAATTTGAACTGGTAGCCAACCAAACATCCACCAAATGTACACAGTATGCTTAATTATTCCCACATAGTCATTTTTATAAACCTGAAGGTGCTACTTTGTATTTTACATGAACAAAGTCACTCTTTTAGAAGTTTTGAAAAATGACATGCGGAGTTGCATGTTGGTCTGTATTATGAAGAACACGCCATGCATAAACACCTCCTGTCTTGTGACCATGGTGACCAAGTTGGTGAAACCACACATTGTTTCTCTCATAAGTGTGCCTGGGAGGGGGGAGACATTTGGGGAGGCCCTCCAAGAGTCACTTGCAACTCTACACCCATTTTTTGGGACAAAAGTTCCCCTTCACAATACACTCCCTATCAAGCCACAAATACAAGCAAACAAGTAGGTCCTGGTTCATGTCCGATGTACAGTAGTATCCATGGTGAAAGGGTCTTTGTTTTGAATCTGAATTAATTTACATATACCGGTATATGCTTGTAAATTGTGCAATTTTCTGCTCAAGCATGGCTGCTTGTGTGTTACTTAGACGACTGGTACACGTACATGTACACGTAGGAAAAAAGAAAAAGGATAGGTACATTTGTGTGTGGGTAACTCCAGAAATAAGGGGTCCAAAAGTGTGACATTTCTGTATCCCTGTTACATCTGACCTTTGTTATTTGACATGGGTACTTCACCGGAATCAATTTCAAACTATTAGTATTTGTTTGGCAGGTAATTTGCATTAATTCATCACTCTTGGAAATTAGAAAATGTGTTCGGAACTTACAAAATTGTATGTCAGATGTGACAGGGACACGAAAAAAAATGGACCCCTAATTTCGGGAATTACCCATATGTACATTTACCATATAAAATTTCCTTTTATGAAGATATAAGCTTATAGCACTTGTTGTCCAACAATGAACAATACCGGTAAGTCTTGCCCATACACTGTACATGTACATGTGTACAATGTACATGTACACTGTACATGTAAGTGAACACTAACACAAGTTTATCAATGCCATCAAGCCTAACATGTATCGGTACAAAACAACTGCTGCATGCACTAGTAGATTTCAAACTCAGGATGGATTTTCTGGTTTCGGGGAAGGAGGGAGTCATGTGTAGGAGAAATGCATGTACTTAGCACCGCGCAAAAGCCAGCCAGGATGGGCGTAACTGGCTTTGCTGCATGATAGTCAGCGGGATGTCGTGAGTGAAATATGCAGAAGATGGTGTGGTGCACAGTCACTGCTAGTCTTACTCACTGCCTGGTACCAAATCCAAGTGATCTGTCTTCTTCTGTTAGAAACAAGCCACATGTACATTGTACACGTAAACTTGGGGGGAAAAAGTGGGAGTTGCACCACTTCTACCGGGTAAATTGTGTCTGGTTTCAATTTTTTTTTGGGGGGGGGCAGGGGAAGGGGATTATGTCAACTGTTTGCTCCATTCCATTTTCCGCAGGCTGTTTACCGGTATATGTACATCACTGCGATAACGTGACTCAGATCTTTTCTGACAAAGTACACATGCACACGTATGACCAACAGACCCCCTGCAGCTCGTACGCGGTAATAGTTCTTTTAATACAACAAGGAACTCTTGAGGAAAAAAGGGGAAGTGAAATCCTTCCACTGCCAACCAGAAATCAAAACCAACTGCGCTGGTCAAGTTACATGGACTATAAAACAGGATTACAACTAGAAAACAACGGGGCCAATGTTGACTACGTTTGCTGGTAATTTATTATTCTTCCTTTTTTGAACGTGAAAAATGAATTTTAATCTGGCTTACACTAATCCATCCACCAACCTTTTCCAAAACACAGGAGTCAACAAATGTAAAAAAAAAACAACTTCAGTGAGTACTGACAGATACACATGCTTGGAAACTGCAAAATGGAAAGGGCCTCTACATTACAAATTACCGACGACTAAGAGACAACTAATTTTACATGTCACAAGAATTGGTTCACGCATGGTTGGTCACCCGTACACTCAGAAATCCTGCAGGTCATTGTCCTCAAAAGAAACGAGCCACATTCGATAGACAAAACAAGTGAACTACCATGCAAATCATGTTGCAGTGTGGTAGATCTATGAAAAGTAATACATTAATGCAGGAGTGGATAGAACAGTTCTTTTTTACACCAATATGGAAATCTATTAAAAAACCCCTAGGCTCTTGCACTCAAAAGCATACTGAACCTCACAAAATCCAACAGATATGATATACATGTTTCTGTTGGATTTTGTGAGATTATGTACTTGTCTACGTACTTGTACATGCAGGTCATTGTACCAAACCTGATAAACTCCAACATAATGAGCTCGTCGGAGCTTGTATGGATGGGTCAATGTAGACTATAGGATGACTTGCACTGAACAGTACCAAACTTGTACCAGTACCAAACTAGACACTGCACACAATGACTCCTGTGTGCTTCAACTCACACAAAATCCAACACCATCGCCCAGGACCTTTGATACAAAGTCTAACAAAATTCAACAAGTTCATCAGGTAGGTACATGTACCAAACCTCATGAAACCTGCTGTTGGAGCATGACAGGTTGGGGGCAGTTACTGGTAGAGTTAATAAACATCTTTGACAAGGTTGCACTTTCTCACTCTGGATACTTTAGCTTCTGTTGAAAGTGCTACACATGCATTCTTGTTTTCGTTGGGTGGGACATTTAGATTCTCTTCAATGCTGCACAAAGGAGTCATCCTTGAGCTACACACTGTGAATGTCTTTGCTTGTGCCTTTAGCTACAGCACGGCAGAAGGAAAACTTTTCCTTCCCCCCGTGGCCACAAGAAGCTCCTGGACAACACTGGTGATGCAAGCACACAGCGGGTCCATTCATACACTCCTGGATGGGAAGCAGACAGGGCAGGAAATTTTCGTCCATTCAAGGCAAAAAGGAAAAAGCTGACTAGCTGGAACAAGGCTTCTTCTCATATACAACGACAAGCACACTGTACAGTAATGCAGACTGGCAAACCATTGGGTGGTTCTTACCTCATTGATGCACCTGTATGCACAATTATAGTTTTCATACCCCAATCCTAATTAACGGAAGATTACATGTACAAACATATACTAGTATAAATTCGGGTACTGGTAAACTTTATGCAGACGTGAAGCAAATTTGCCACCAGAACATAAATTTTGCAGTGATGAATCACACAATTGGCATTCTAAGCACTGGACCACAATGAACTGAACACAGACACAAACATACACACACGTGTACTAGTATACATGTACATGTGCATGTAGAAACCTCTACAAATGGATGATAAGTGGGAAACAAAACAGTTTTGGTGAGAAGTTCAAAGACGCCATCTTGTAGATATCTGGAGTTTACAACAAAAGAAACCAACAGCACGAGCTCAAAAACAATTCTTTACACAACCAGAATGAAAGGTCAATTCCGACATTTAGCAGCATTTGCAATGAAATAACCGATGGCTTTATCTGCACACCAAACAGAGACTACTGAAAAAAATGTCTGGACTGCGTAGTCTGTGGTTTCTCACTGAAAGATATTCTCAGCTGCAAGTGACAGCCACAAGGCACGCCAATGACACACGAGGAGCTAAAAATATATGGTAAACCGGCAGAACCTTTAAACCGTATTGTACAGAACATGACTGAGAGTGGTTTCAACAGGCACACTAAATATATAGCGACTGAGAAAAAAAGAAAAGAAAAAAAGCTAAGGTAGTCCGTCGCTGGGGCCTGAAACGTTTCATCTGACACAACCATGGACCTCACTTGAAACAGAACAAGGAAACGGGCATCTTCAACAAAAATCTCAGTGCGTATCCCTCCGCTAGAAACAGACATTACAATGTAATGCCGTGGCTGCCATGCATCAATTTGAAAGAGGCTACTATGTACAATTTACACCCACATTTGTGTTGGTGGGAAAAACTATTTTGCATACTGTGCTGCGACTGCGCAATACTCAACCTGTACATGTACAAGTACGGCATGCATCGGGTGTGCAGAGCACCACAAGGTCAACATGAATGAACCTGTACAATGTGCACACTGTACCCGTATCCTTTATATTCCTACATGGCATCATAAAGATTTAAATGAAAATCACGTACAGTGGCGACAACATTGGAAAAACTGTTTTTCTGTTGTCTGCAGAAAGTAAGCACCCACGGTAGCTCCGGTACATACAAGTTCATACACTGTAGACTGTCTACATAAATGTACGGTACTACATTGTACATGTACAGTGTACATGTAAGCTAAAGTTTTCACACTGTAGCCCTTTGTACCATATATTATTGTAGACATTATGCTTCTGAAGAGGGTGCAAAAACCTCAGATTACCGGTACAATCTCTACAGCGTACAGTAAGTGTCTTGAAATATGCATAACGGTGGATTTTCCTGAGCCCATCAAGAACCAAGGTCCTTCACCCCCCCCCCAAAAGAGGAGAAGTTGACGAGACGGCCCTTTAACCCTTTGCGTGATCATGCTGGCACCCTGCAATGCACAATGGCCTTTCATTGTGGTCTCGCCATCAGGAAGCTGAGTGATGGGGGAGGGGGAGAGGATTTGCCCTTCTCCATCAACTGCCAATTGAGGCCGCCTGCTGCAGATGGTATGTTGCTGTGTCATGGGCTGAGAGGACAGGGAAGGACAGTCCCCCCGTCAAAAAAAAAAAAACTTAACGAGGATATTTTTAATCATTAATTACAGACACGCCGGCTTCCTTTTCCCCTCCCTCAACCCAACAAAAATTTACTATACAGTACATGTAGTTTATCATCACACATAATGCAGTTCACAACCACATCCTCGACAGTGGAGAACCTAAAAAAGTGCAAGTACAGGTACATACAGAAACGACTGCAATAAAGTACCTTGCTCAAGGACACGAATAAATACTTTGCCGAACTGCTAACAACTAAACTTATGAGGAATAAAGAATGCCTCTGGATGGTCAAGCACTGTTATGATACAAGTACATCCTAATCTCAGTTAAAGGATAAAAGAAAACAGAATGGTAGTCCAGTGACAAGCCTGATCAGAAGTCAGATCAAACAGCTGATCACAGGCTATGGGAAATCGCACAACCACAAATGATAACCCTCTGTCGTAGATCATCTAAATACTTTGTGGACCGACTTGAGACTGGGTGACCTGTAACAAGCTTGCTTGCAAGCAAAGGCTTTGAGGGCTTACCTGCACTCTCAAGACTTGTGAAAACTTGAAAGAAAACAGTGCAATAAGCCATTTGCATTTTAGATGTTACTAAAATCTGGGACACTGAGTTATCTGATTGCCTATAAACATAACAATTTGAATTTCCCAAACTAAGGACACTTTTGCTCTACATGTACCTCATGATTTGGGGCAAGCTTCTGCACAGCCATCACCATCTCTAGAATGGGCTGGCTCCTTTGTGCCCTTCTTATCCATTGGAAACAGTGTACAACTAAGCAAAAGCTTTCCCTGAATCACCATTTACAGCAACAGTGTCTTTAGTATGGAGAATTTAAATTACGTTCATGTGAATCTAAACAACTTGGTGTACCAGATTTTATTCAAATTTAACTCGCAAAAGGCTTAATGAAATCTCTTCGGCCTTACCTTTCTTCCGCTACGCTCGTGGGGCTGATTCTCTTGGTTGCAGGCAGGGGGGTGTTGCTGCATTTGCTGGACACTGCTCTCTGTAGACTCTGAGCATATTGGAATGGCAAGGGAGACAAAGGAAAAAACAAAATCATTACTGACCATAATATCAGAAGATCGATTTTTGTGTCTGGAAATAGCAGTATGAATTTCTGTCCAGGAAGTTGTTTTAGACACGAACATAAAGTTCTTGCAGCCTTTCCATAATGGTGGTTTCTTTTTGGCCTCGCCTGAATGCTACACACTTGGTTCTCCATTAAACATTCTGCATACATGAACAAAGGCCGGCATGAAACTGAATGTAGCTTTTCTGATTTTAATCAATCACCATTGGGCGAAAAAAATAGCTTGTTATCTTTACCTGTTCAGCTTGGACCACGAAATGGGAATTAAATATCAGGCATGCAATTTGGACATTTGACCAAAAAACAGGTAATTCCAATGTTTATAAGACAAGTGTTTCAATTTTCAATAGCATGAGTGCAATGTTAAAAAAAAACAAAGAAATCAGCTGATCCAAGGAAAAGTTGCATGCCCGGTATGTTTCAGGTGACCCACAAAACACTGCTAAACCTGACTTGCCCTGTTATATATGAAGCCTCATTCTGCATCCCAATGATCAGTAATGCTGTTGACCCTTACCCACATTCAATCCAACAAGATTTTATGTTAGAATTTTAACCAGGTGGAGGTTTAATAAATTTTTGCGTAAGAGCTCCGAAGAAAAATAACAAATGTCTGAGGTACAGGGGATGTTCCAATAGTACGGTATACCAGTACAATTACTTGTACATATTAACACCAATTCTTCCAAAGTATACTCTCTGTGTGTCTGCACCCCAAAAGCACAGAGCCATACGGGTTTGAATCAAATCAAACCACACTGGCTGGAAAATATTGATTCGATTTAAAATTCATTTCGTTGTGGCCATTTGCAAAGGAACAGTTGGCAGGCTTCCATCTAGACATGTCTCAATATGCACATGTGTAGTACGTACAGGCACCAATGGAAGGCAAAGGGACAATGACAAATGTACATGTAGTAGCACAGTCCTGGGGAGAAAGGTTTTCAAAATGAATGTCTGTAAATGCATACATGTACAGTGCAAATACACTGTACATATACAATATACGAGTACTGTATGTACTTTGACCATCAACCATTTTCATGGAACAGAGTTTATGACTTTTAAAATCACAAACCTTTCTTGAGAATTTATGTATACATGTACACTATACATCAGTAGCAGTTTACATATATTCATATCAGTTAGGAGCCTCTTGTGGGTGTTTTTATGATAAAGGTACTGACTGGTTTTCAAAACTTTTCCCAGTTTTATGAAGGATTTTGACTTCTATTTTGTGGTCTCTAACCCTCAGAAACACAACAGTCATCACTGCCATACAGATATATGCACAACACAACAAACGAGTTCACATTTCAGGGAGTAAAAATTTCACTTGAAGCATACATCAGGTGCATAATTACAGAAATTTTTTGAGTGGGTGCAAGACAAATGGCTAGAGGGGTGAATACGATAAACCAAATCCTTGGAGGGGACGGTTATAATTGTTGACTTCTGCTGTTTTCTCCAATAAAAAGTACAAGTATTTATGAATGAGAATCTCAGCTTTCTATTTACCTAGTTGAACTGCAGACGTGTTGTTTTCATTATTCCTTATTTTTTAAATTTGTTTTCAGAGATGTACATACATGTACATGGTATGCCTCAAACAAAGGTAGCTATTAAAAGAAAGTACAGTACATGTACATTTGTAAATGTTCAGTTTAAAGTGAAAAATAAACTCAGCCACTGGCTAGCCAAGGAAAGCTTTCTGCTACAACAACTGGACATCATGGTAAAGTACACTTTCCATACCAGTATTTCTTCTGGCAATAACACTAGCCATGCTGATGAATCCAACAAGATTCCATTTATTTTCAAGGGTCTACAGGGAGTAAGAATTAATTAAAAATAGCTGTAAGCTTACAATGCTTGCCTCTGTTCTATGGTAGGGACTTCATTCAGAGCAGTTACTCATACAATACAATTTGTGAACAATTCCAATCCACCCTTCCGAAAACTTTGCAACATAATAAGCCAGTCTATGAGTAATTTTCTCTTCTATATAAACAACTGTACTTAAAACAAATACACAAAAATGTATGTACATGTAGGCCTACATTTGTACATGTGTTCATGCATGGCTCAGGAAATTAATACGTGTCCATGTACACAGTTAAAAGCATGTACATGTATTTACACATGTGTATGGGTATACGTCTACATGAACATGTATGTCAATTCCTGAGTGGTTTTTCAGACGTACATGTACACATACACTTGTACATGTGTTCCATGCATTGTGGCTGGTAAATTCTGGTTTACTAATGGTACATGTACATGTTAAGTATTTAGGGGAACTGTGTGAATCTTTTTTGCTTCTGGATGACTTCATAACAGAATATGACGACATTTTTTCAAAACAAAAGGATGAAGCCACATCAGATACACATGTACTGTACTTGTTCGCTACTCAAATGAGACGAAAAATGTATGTACATGTATGTACCGGTACATGTACTGCTGGTTATGTGAGGTTTCAATCAGATTAAATCCCTAGCCGCTCCTCAGGGTTCAAACCTTCGTTTGGTCTATGTGAAGAAAGTCCGCGACCCCGATAACATTCATGTTCATGGGTCTATGATAGGGACATAAACACCCAACCACACCACTGCCTCAACACAGTATCAATGCAGTGCATGTAACACATACAATGCAGTCAACCCGGTCCACAACTGCACAGACCCACACAGCTTACTACCAGTATAATGCAGCACTGTAGATGGAATGTACATGTACAATGGCATGGATACTGGTGCTTGTACAGATGTACATCTGCATGCAACTCTGACCACAATGCATGCCAGGCCTGACTGGGTTTGTAGCTCCATGGTCTGACTGAACAACTGACCTCCCCTGCAACAATTTCCGCTCTGGCTGTCAGGAACAGGACAGGTCACTCAGTGAAAGGGGCAGAAATTATCATATCAGTGCTTGCTACCCTTCCCCCCAAAAAACCCCTCACTGTTCAGAGTTGACCTCAGGGAATTAAATCACTCCAGTAAAATATATTTTTACGTTTTAACCCTACATTGATTGGTCATTACTGTTTGTGACTGCATGTAAATTGTATACGACAACTGATTTCATGGAATGAATTCACAGGGATACAATGCATGAATGTTAATTCTCATCCAAGAAAACTACAAAATATAGCTAATGAAAAAAACAGAACTAAAAAAAAAAGTATACCTTACCATAGTTACCAGGTTGGGCTGAATTTCTGTAGCCCATAAGGAAAATGTATTTATCTTAAACAAAAACTACATACAAAGACTACATGAACATGTACGTGTGCATTGTACATGTAAGTACACATACCAGTAGGCTACATGTACGGTACGTGCAGGGAATGCGCGTAACCTTAACTCCCTAGGGTGTATGTAAAATCTATCAAACTCGGAGGCTTTGGGACTGATAGGGCTAGACAGTGGTTTCATTGTCTTCAAGCCAACTTGAATTGCCGATCCATACATGTACCAGTACATGTATAAAACATGCATGTTTAAAACTGAACTTTTCATAGCCTCGACAAAGTGTATACAAAATACATGTTCCATTTACTAGTATGAATTTATACGCTCATTGTTACCTGCATGAAATTACAATGTACGTGTCTACATACAGTACATGTACATGAATACATTATACTGTACATGTATGATAAAGTACAAACGGGTAACATTTTGACTTGTACAGAAGAAGTACATACACAAGTATATGTACTTTCATATTTGAGAAAAATAATCATCTTGTTCCGAGACTTCCACAATCAGACAGACGTGATTCAATTATTTGTCTCAAGTGAAATGTATGTACATGTACATAAAATTATACCGGTATACTGTCAGACTGTAGAGTTAGTGGTGTACAACGGACTAAGGTGCATTTCATTCACAGCAGTAATAGCATAGTACTACATGTAAGCTTTTGTATTGTAATGGTTTAGGTACCATATATTTTGGTACTTTTCCCTTTGGGCAACTACCGGTACATGTAATCTCGGTAAGCACTGTTAATTATTTAGTCTTAATTTTAATTAAAAAAATACTTGAATCTAAGTATTAAAACAATTTATTTGTGCATACACTGCTAAAACACAGCCATGCTTGGAATAGAATATTAAAAAAGCACCACCACAATACATGTACATGTGCGGTATAAAAAAATTAATGAAAGGAAAGGCCATAAAAGGCTCATGTAGACACGCCCTGATACAGGAATGAAGTAACGAAGGACACTCTGCACTTTCTATTCGACACCATTTGACGCCCAATTTTTAAGCAATTGGATATTTGATGTCCATTCGCTTCACGGCTGTTACCTTCCGCCTCCCCCCCCTTTCCATTCCTCTCCCATACACCACCTGACGGTCCCTGTACAAACACAGCACAGGCCCAATCGAAGCCCCGCAATCCATATGATAGCACACGCGCCAGCCCCACTTGTGTGCGGATGGTTCACCTTATTGTTGGTGGACACAGAGAAGGGGGAAAAAAAAAAAAAACCACTCAAACACAAACAAGCACTCCGCCTTGACACGCAAAATTTGTTCTTGAATTAATGCGGGAGGTCGTGGTGGCTGGCACATGTGTTGTTCCCGGTTCATCCGCTTCTTTAGTACCAACGACGGAGGAAAAAAGACACAAACTAAACTACTAGACGGAAAAACACGAGGGATGAATGCCAGTATACAGTTGAATGAGTCATGGAGAAACCACAATATTACCATGACATTACCCAACTGATATGTTTCCTGGTGAGGAGGAGAATGCTTCCAAAATTGATTTCATATTCAATATTGGTTTCAGGTGAACTGTCCTTTTAATTCCAGGTTTTCTGGGTTTTTTTTTAATTTAGTTATTTTTTGGATTGGAGTTTGCTTTCACTGGATAATTTTATCGAATGAATGCTGAAAGTGA